CGAAGGGAATGTGAAAATTGAAAAGTTCGATGGTGCGGACTTTGGCTTTTGGAAGATGCAGATTGAAGATTTTTTGTACCAGAAAAATCTATATCAACCTCTCTCAGGAAAGCAACCAGAGGGCATGAAGAATGAAGACTGGGCCCTTCTCGACAGACAAGCCCTCGGAGTTATTCGACTGACGTTATCCCGCAATGTTGCTTTCAACATAGCAAAAGAAAAGACCACGGCGGGTCTTATGGCGGCTCTCTCCAGTATGTAGGAGAAGCCATCGACCTCAAACAAAGTTCATTTGATGAGGCAATTATTCAATTTGCGGATGGCGGAAGGGGCATCAGTGGCTCAACACCTAAATGAACTCAACACAATCACAACCCAGTTGAGTTTCGTGGAAATTGAGTTCGATGATGAAGTTCGAGCTTTAATTCTCTTATCATCTCTACCAGACAGTTGGAATGTTACTGTTACAGCAGTCAGCAGGTCGTCGGGAAACAACAAATTAAAATTCGACGATGTTTGGGATCTGGTATTGAGTGAAGAAATTCGACGGAGAGAATCGGGTGAAGTATCAACCTCATCAGCCTTGCACACCGAGTCTAGAGGGAGAACTTCAGAAAGAAATTCAAATCGTGACAGATCGAAATCTAGAAGAGGTAAATCAATAATAGGAAAGAAAGATTTTACCTGTTATAATTGTGGCAAGAAGGGTCACTTTAAAAGAGATTGTCGAGCACTGAAGAAAGATACTGGTGTATAGGAATCTACCAACATGACAGAGGAGACAGGTGATGCTATGATTCTAAGCGTCAACAGTCCGATTGAATCATGGATCTTGGATTCAAGGGCATCTTTCCACTCCACCATATGCCGAGAAATCATAGAGAACTATGTCAGTGGTGATTTTGGGAAGGTTCATCTAACTGATGATGAAACCTTGAAGATCGTCGAAAAAGGAGACATTCGATTAAAGTTGTCAAACCAGACCACCTGGATGCTGAAAGGAGTAAGACATATTCCTAGCCTCAAAAGAAATTTGATTTCTGTAGGACAACTTGATGGAGAAGGATATAGCACAACCTTTTTAGGCTGTGAATGGAAGATTACCAAAGGAGCACTCGTCATTGCTCGTGGTAAGAAGACTGATACTCTCTATATAACCTCAAATTTAGAGAATATCATTGCTGCAGCAGATACTGATGGAAAATCAAACCTATGGCACCAAAGGCTTAGCCATATGAGCGAAAAAGGGATGAAGACACTTTTGTCAAAAGGGAATCTACCGGATCTAAAGAATGTAGATGTCGGACTATGCGAGGATTGCATCTTTGGTAAATAAAAGAAAGTCAGTTTTGCAAAATTGGCAAGACACCCAAGGCAGAAAAGTTAGAGTTGGTTCATACTGATGTATGGGGATCATCTCCAGTTCCATCTCTTGCAGGCTCATTATATTATGTCACCTTCATCGATGATTCTACAAGGAAGGTGTGGGTTTATTTTCTGAATAAAAAATCAGAAGTCTTTGATACCTTCAGAAAATGGAAGGTCATGGAGGAGAATGAGACTGGTCTGAAAGTCAAGCGGTTGAGGTCTGACAATGCATGAGAGTACAGAAATCGTAGATTCATAGAATTCTGTGCAAACAATGGGATCAAGATGGAGACAACAGTTCCCATGACACCACAGCAGAATGACGTAACATAGCGCATGAACAGAACTCTGAATAAACGTGCCAGAAACATGAGGATACATGCCGGCTTGCCCAAAATGCTATGGGTTGAAGCTATCAACATTGCAGCTTACCTGATCAACCGTGGGACCTCAGTTCCCTTGGATGGTGTAATACCAGAGGAAGCTTGAAGCAAGAAAGAAATAAACCTTTCACACTTAAGAGTGTTCGGTTGTATTTCTTATGTACACATAAACTCTGGTGAAAGAAGTAAACTTGATGCCAAGTCCAACAAATGTGTCTTTGTTGGTTATGGTGGTGATGAGTTCGGTTACCGATTTTGGGACTATGAAAATCGGAAGATCATCAGAAGCAGAGATGCCATTTTCAATGAGAATATGATATACAAAGAAGATCAACCATAGAATCAAGTAGCTCAAACACCAAAGCTGAAACAAAGGAATTTGCTGAGTTTGAGGAGATTTCTGGAAATGATGTTCAGATTAGTCTTGAAGCAACTCAAGAAGAACCAGGCACACCGGAACTAAGAATCTCCTCCATAATTCCTAAACCAACTCAGCGGTATTCTCCTTCTTTGCACTACTTGTTGCTGACTAACAATGGTGAACCAGAGTGCTATGATGAAGCAATGCAAGTGGAGGATTCAGTCAAGTGGGAGTATTTCATGAAAGATGAGATGTACTCGCTTATGTCAAATCAGACATGTGAATTAGCTGAATTACCATCAGGCAAGAAAGCGCTTCATAACAAGTGGATTTACATGATCAAAGAAGAGCACGATGGGAGCAAACGCTACAAAGCAAGATTGTTTGTCAAAGGATTTCAGCAAAAAGAAGGTATTGAATACAATAAAATTTTCTCTCCAGTTGTAAAACTGTCTACAATCAGACTGGTGTTGAAAATTGTAGCTGCAGAGAATTTACATCTTGAGCAATTAGATGTAAAGACAGCTTTCCTTCATGGTGATTTGGAGGAAGAAATCTATATGAGGCAGCCAGAAGGCTTCATAGAGGCAGGAAACAAAAACCTGGTATGCAGGTTGAAGAAGAGCTTGTATGGTTTAAAACAAACTCCTAGACAGTGGTACAAGAAGTTCGATAGCTTCATGAGTAGCAGTGGTTTTACCAGATGCCAAGCTTATCATTGTTGTTATATCAAGAGGTTCGACAATAGCTTCATTATTTTATTGTTGTACGTTGATGACATGCTCGTTGCAGGCTCAAACATGCAAGAGATTATAAACTTGAAGCAAAAATTGTCGAAGCAGTTTTCTATGAAGGATCTGGGCGCTGCAGAGCAGATTCTTGGGATGAGGATAAAGAGAGACACAAAGTTGGGGACTTTGATGTTATCACAGGCTGAGTACATCAACAAAGTACTCTCCAAGTTCAACATGCAAAATGCTAAACCAGTAAGTACACCTTTAGGTGTTCATTTCAGACTCTCTAAAGAACAGTCACCGAAGACAGAGGAAGAACGTGCACACATGGTGAAGGTGTAATATGCCTCAGCAATTGGAAGTCTGATGTATGTCATGGTTTGTACCAGACTAGATATTGTTCATGCAATGGGAGTTGTTAGCAGGTACATGAATAATCCAGGCAAGGCACACTGGGAAGCTGTCAAATGGATCTTTAGATATCTGCGAGGTACTACAAACAAATCACTTTGTTTCAAAAGTTGAGATACGATACTGACAGGCCATGTAGATGCTGACTTAGCCGGAAATATTGACATCAGAAGGAGCACTACAGTGTATGTCTATACTCTATGAGGTACTGCAGTGAGTTGGGTTTCTCAACTACAGAAGATAGTTGCTCTATCCACAACTGAAGTAGAATATGCGCTGTTACGGAAGCCAACAAAGAGATGGTTTGGCTCCAAAGTTTCTTGTAAGAGTTAGGCAAGAAACAAGAAAACAATATCTTGTATTGCGACAATCAAAGTGTTGTCCATCTAGCAAAGAAGTCGTATTTTCATTCCAGGGCGAAGCACATACAATTGAGATATCATTTTATCAGGTCTCTTCTCGAAGGATTTTGAAACTTGAAAAGATTAGTGGAGCTTAAAATCCAGCAGACATGTTTACAAAGACGGTGACTACGGACAAATTGAAGTTGTGTTCAACTTCAGTTTGCATGCTAGAGTAACAAGACCAGAAATACTGCTGCATTGATCAAGGTGTGAAGACAGATTAAAATCAATTTTCAAGTGGGAGATTGTTGACAATTGCACATGAATTGTTGACAATTACGCATGGTATTGCATGGGATTCTAGATGAATTGTTGACAATTGCATGGTATTCTAGATGGCAGCCATTAATTGTAAGAATTCAAAGGTGGACTGCCTAATTTTGTTGAAATTAACAAAGAAATAATTATAAAATTGAGTCATTGAACTTTAGGATATTTATAAGATTAGTCTTTAAGCTTCAACTATAAATAACTTAGCCCATTTAGCTTCAAAATCATCCCAAAATCCCAAATCATTTCTTTCTCCCAATACTAAAGAGTTTCTTGTGAGTAGTGAATGTTTTGTAAACACCTGTAAATTTTATCTCTTAGTAAAAAATTTACAACAGTCCAGAGACGTAGGCAAAATTGATTGAATTCCGTTATCAATTTCGGATATTATTTTTTTCACTTTTATTTTACATTCTCACTAATCTAACTATTGAGAAATTACTCGTACTCAACTTATTTCCGAACACTTTTTCACCTGATTTTTCCCTTCAACAATTACACGATTCTGAGAGCGAATAACGCGTTAGATAATGCCAGTTTCACCTTTATCTTTGCCCCTGATTATCATCACATTGTCACCCCTAAGAATTTTCCAGTGCCTTATAAGCTTCTCAGCTGCTTTCCAGCCCATTTTAATCCCCTAGAGAGCTAAAGCACCGAGCTTTTGCCAATGATTTGGAAGATCTGGATCGTCTCCTTCTACCCCTTTCTTGTTTTGATTTTACTTTATTTGGGGTTTATAAGTATTTGACTAACTATAGTAGATTCTGGGTTGTATTTACTTGTTTTCCAACATAAACCAGATTCACTTGTCTTTGCTGTGGTTTTTCATTTTAGGGTTTATATATACTTGAATTAATTGATTTCTGTAATTTGTAATGACATGTGAGCTTTTGTAAACAGCGGTTTGTATCGACGTCAAATGACACTTCGCCTCGCCTGGGAATAAACGCTTTCATTTCTTTTGTGTTTTATGAACCGAAGCAGGCTCTGGAATTATTCTCAAAACAGCGCTTTTGGGTATTGGACTTTGCCCATCTGTATTATTTGATTTGGATTCAATTGGGTGATGGGGAAGAACTCGTTGCCGCCGGGGTTCCGATTTCATCCTACGGATGTTGAGTTAGTGATGTACTATTTGAAGAGAAGTAAAGAGGAAGAAGCTATATGTCAATGTCATTGCTAAAGTTGATATATATATAAATATGCTCCTTGGGACTTACCCAACCTCTCGTATTTGAAGACTGGGGATTTGAAGTGGTTCTTCTATTGCCCTGTTGAGAAGAAAGGGACTAGGTCCAATCGTGCAACTACAGATGGTTATTGGAAAACTACTGGAAGGGATAGGCCTGTGAACCATAATAAAGAGGTTGTGGGTTCAATTAAGACTTTGATTTTCCATCGCGGGAAAGCACCACGAGGTGAGAGAACAGATTGGTTAATCCACGAGTATAAACTCAAGGAGAAAGACGACACTTATGTCCTCTGTGTCCTTTTCAACAAGGATGGTAAGGGCCCAAAAAATGATGCTCAATATGGAGCACCATTCAAAGACGACGATTGGAGTGACGACGACTCTCCTCCCATCGTGTCTATCCTAGAAGCTGCTGGTAACAAATGTCTCTGATAATTTGTCTTCTGTTCCAACGTTCGAGAATCTCAATGATAACGATGAGGAGTTTTCTGCCATATTGACATCATTCGTAGATGATGTCCATCCTTCCAAATATACACTGTAAATTGATAGTTTTTCTATAGCTTTTCAAGAATGATGAATATATACTGCATTATTTCTTTGTTCCCATCTTATCACGATGGTGATTAACAAAGTGCAGCTAGCAATGAGGGTTTTGGTGTTTACTATATTCCTAGACATTGTAATATGGTTGCTCATAGGTTAGCTTCTTGGGCACTTTGTTTTGGGCAGTTGTTGTTTTTTTGACTCTATTTATACCGAGATAATAGCTTTTGATATATCAAATAATATCTTAATTTCGTAATATATTTGTTTTGGGTAGTATTTTCCCCTTATAGGTTTATAAGGGGCTTTAACGAAGCCCAACTTTCAAAAAAAATTGTGTTAAATATGGCATAAGTGTATAATTTATATTTATCTATAGAATACAAACACTTAAAAAAAAGGACAACATAGCATATAACAGGTTAAATAGTAATAAAATAAAAGAGGGCGAATAGAAATATGGTGCAATTTCCCCAAAAAAATATGTAGCGCCGGCCCGAGCATCTTAGCTGTCACAAGCCACAAGTGATGAACCTCGTTTTTTCCAATTATAGTTTTCTAGTTGACAAATTATGCAGGAAAATTTAGCTCTTAAAACTACTTATGTGCTAATTAATACTAAACTTCCCTCTGCTAATCAACCCAACATGTTCAAGTTTCACCTCTTCCTTTTCCAAGTTTCTGCAATTCTCTTCTTCTCGCACCAATTTTGTTGTAAGTATCTAATTTCATCATATGTATAGACAATTTGCATGTTCTAAATTCATCTTCTGCTATGATTCAGATGGCAAAGTGATGATGGAGTACATTGGAGCCACAGGCGCACCCGTAAGACTCGACGCTGTTCCGATCGAAGATGGCATCGATTTCCACTTCCTACTTAGTTTTGCCATCGACTCCGATCCCTCCGGCAATTCCCAGAACGGAAAATTCTCCCCATATTGGGCAAGCGCATTAACCCCGGAATCCATTGCAGCCATCAAGCAAAGTCACCCCAATGTGAAAGCCTTAGCCAGTCTTTCTGGGTGGAGCATAGGCAACAAAGTCCTCCGTTGGTACAACCCAGTCGACTTCCAACGATGGATATCCAACGCCTTCTCGTCTTTGTCATCGATATCTCGACAATATCATCTCGACGGCATCGATATCGACTACGAAAACTTCCCAAGACGTAACTCGACGTTCGCTTATTGCATAGGTGAACTTCTTTGCTGCTTTGAGGCTTTTGGAAAGCAATGGATTTAGTGTTAATGGAGTTATGATCTTCTCTGCTGATGCTTCTTCCTCTAATGGCTATTACTATGAGAAGAAATCTCAAGATTTCTTGCTCAATTCAACTGTATCGCTGTGAAAATTTACCGATTAATTCTCATGTACTACTACTATATCACAATACAATTATCTTTAAATAACTTTGAAATTTTATTTCTTAATTTGCATTTTAAACTAGTAAACATAGTTTAATGTCAGAAAGATAAGGATATTTGTAAATTTTATTTTTAAATAATAACTTGTTGAATGATATGATTATCAATTTATTAGTACAATTTTCTTCCATTTCAGTGGTCGAGGAGAATTTTGTTCTTCTTAAAAGTTTTGAGGTTCGAGCAGTTACGTCTAAGGTGTATATATGTTCGTTGTTAATGATTAATAAATATTCTGGGAAAAAAATATTATTTTGTAACCACCTCATATATTAAAAAAAGATAATTTACATTAGTTATACATCATTATTTTTATTAATATTATTATTTTTAAATGAATTAATGTATTATTGTTTTGGTTTACAGTAACTGTTTTTTAATTGAACTAGTTTAATTTAGAGTAAAAATTTTATATCCAAATTATGAAAATTATTAATTAAAATATAATTTAATATCATTGAAATTTATTTTTAAAATATTTATTAATTTTTCAATTAAATTTAATTTGGTTAACATTATTATTGGTACAATATATTATAATGTATTGATTATTTTTAAATATTCAATTTTCTCCGATATATAATTAGGAATAGGTCGTGATATAAATATTGTATTAAATTATTTAAAATTTGTTTAGTAATTTAGTTTTTATTTTTAAATAAAATAATATAAGTAACAACCTTGTTTAACTTCATTTTTTACATTAAACTTAATTTTTAACACTTTTGAATTTTTTTCACACAATATAAAAGTAAATTTTTTTATAAAACCATTAAATTAATATAAATTAATAATTAAAATTTGTGCAAAGTACACAAATGATCACCTGACTATAGGACATAATTTTATTGAGTTTTTCAACTATTAAAAGTTACAAAATGATTCTTCGACTATAGGACATTGCTTTATTGAGTCACCCGACTATTAAATTTTACACAATGGTAACCCAACTATTTATATGTTTCAAGCTCATCCTTTTCCGTTAAGAAGTTGACAATAGTCTGAGCTGGACACATGGCCAGGCTAGGACGTTGGAGGCCCTATGCAAATTCTTAAAAGGAGGCCCTTGTTATTCCGGAGCCCTTGCAAAATTCCTTAGTAAAAATTACAAAACTTGAATGCAGTATATATAGGGAGATTGGTGATATTACTAACTCAAATCCTAACGGTATGGGATAGGGAAATCATGAAGATGAGCTCATTTCTCGTAAAGTGGAGTTAGACAAAAAAAATAAGATTTTTATTATAATAAATCTACTTTTTTTTGGGGCCCTTGCTATTCCGGGCCCTATTCCGTCGCTCAACTTGTGCTCCCTGTAGCCCCGCCTCTGGCTGGACGTTAACATGCTAACTAAGATATGCTAAAATCTAATCCTAGAATCTCAAACGACTATCATATCCCAGGCATCATGTTAACGTCCAACTCAGACAATTATCATTTTTTTAACCGAAAAATGACGAGTTTGGAACATATGAATAGTTGGATGATTATTTTGTAACTTTTAATAGTTGAGGACTCAGTAAAACAATACCACATAGTCGAAGGACCATTTTATAACTTTTAATAGTCGATGACTCAACAAAGCAAATCTTATAGTCGAGATATCATTCGTGTACTTTACCCTTAAAATTATTTATTTCTTTTTTTTCATAAAAATATCCTCCATTTACCCTCAATGATATAAAAAATATATTTAAAAGTTAAAACAAAAAAGCATTGTAGTTTATTAACGAAGCAGAGCTGCTGCATGAATACTACAACAAGGGCGATTGGGAAAAAAATAAACACGATTCACTTGCTTTATTGCTCTACAAAATAGAAACCACTGAATAAATTTGTGAGTTGACGGTTCATCCTAGTGGCATCTTCTTCAATGCACCTTCACTTGATCAGGTACGTGATTTGGTTTTATTTTAGGCATGCTTCTTGCTACCAGCCAGAATACGTTGAATTTGAAGGCCTCTGCTGAAGGCTTGGTTGAACAGCAGCCTGGTCTGGAATTCCGATACAAACGGGAACCATGCCAATATGGCTATCGGTGCGAACAGCAACACTCCCATCATGTATTCGTACCCTCTCGCCAGTGCCTTCACCGATCCCCACATTCCGATTCCCTTCACCAATGTCCGGCAGGCTTGCGATATCTGCAGAAGCGCCCACCCCGTCGGTATAAACGCTAGTAAGCTCTGGAAGATGTCCGACACGGTGAGATCGAGGAAATAGAACAGCATTGTGATGGTCGCTATGCACCCGATGAACATTAGTAGTTTAAGGAGTCTGAACATCAGCTGGAAATCCGCGCTGAACTTCATTCGCCCCATCGATACGATCTGCAAGTGTGCACCGGTTTGTTAGAGGACTAATTACGGAAGGGAGGATTATGGTTTTCGAAATTGAGTTTGAGTATCACCTTTAGAATAACCAACACGGCTACAATGACCAGCCAGGAAAGACCATAAACCTGAAACCAAGCACATTGGAAAACGGCTTGCTTGCTTCAAAAAGAAAGGTGAGATATTAAGATTAGAGGGCGATACTCACCGCGATGCTCAACCGAATACCTTTCCTGCTGCTGGTGGTCATGTTTAGATGATACACAATTCCATACTGGTAAATGAAGAAGCGAAGCGAAAGAATGATCTCTATGAGACGTCCCATGAGCCCGGTGTGTCGCAGGTGCTCCTGTTCTTCATCCCACCAAGATTCCCAGCTCTTAACCGATGAAACTCCGATGCCACCTCTGCAGCTAATCCACTTTGACCAATCTTCCCAATCTTCTACTATTTTCTGCCATTCGAATCCCGACGGGTTCAAAAGGAAAGGAGCAAACAGCCAGGATAAAACCAAGAACCACATGGAGAATGATAGGAGTCCATAAGAGACTGCATCAGTTGCTGAGGAACCATAGATCCTATAACATATAAGCAACACCATTAGCTCCATCCCTTTTACAAAGTGGCTCCTTGAGTACAAGCGGTAGTTCTCTGCGAATTTCTCGTGCCGGACCACAAAGCCACGGCCTGTCGCTCTGTATTTAGCCCCACCGTGCAGGATAGTGCGCCCGAAGTAATGTGCTCTCGTTCCGAGGGAGAAAGTGAAGAACACAGATGCCAACTGAAGCTGCATGATTATGATGTCGCCTAATGCTGTTCGAAATCCTCTTTCCAATCCGATCTCCATCACCATGGGCAGTACCGTTAACACGCCTAATTGAACTATAGACTGTGAAGCCAATGCAGCCTTCAGAGAATTATTACCCCTAGCCGAAGCAAACTTATATATCGCCTCCTCTAAACCGCTTAATGCCAAATAAAGCCTTCCGTACAAGAAAAGGTACACTGTAAACACAATCAACTGCGCAATAACAAGGAGAGGAACTCACATTAGCTTTGAAAAGAAACAAAAATCACTAATTACTTACTAGTTCATGTTAAGCACATTACCATAGAGCTGAAATAAAATCCAATCGTTGTGAAGTAGCATGACAACATGCGGAAGAAGTCGAAGCGATGGCCTAGTCGGTAGATATCTCTGCTGAGTGTCTGTTCCCCGTTACCACAAGCCACTTTGGCTTCGAAAAGAGAGATTTGGTTTAACCCGACATCCCTACCTTTCCCGACTTGAATATACTCATGATGAGTAATGTTACCTCGTCTCAGGGTCGAGTTAAAGCCTTTTAAAAGTAGAGTAAATATCAAAGGGAAAAAGAAGACTAAGTGGTTGCAGTAATGTAAGATCATTACCTGCAAAGATGTCCTCGCTCAAGTTGATGCCACGAGAACCCTTGCTGATGCCTCCACGGGTTATGTGGAAGATCCTATCGAACACATCCGGGTGACCGTAATGGAAACGGACCCTGAAACCCACCAATTAACATGTTAACCAACATGGAGATCACTTGCATTATATAATGTGTAAGAAAATATAGCTGATAAACTTATAAGAGATTAAAACATGCTTGAGTGGTCTTGCAAGAACTCTTTGACCGATGGTAACGAAGCTCGTTTCTTGATTTGACATGAACCAAGCCAGGGATGAGACACTGCAACGTAGAGATTTCAAACCATAAGATAGGTGTTCACATAAGTGACAGACAGATATCAACACAGATAAGCAAATAGTAATGTTCATTCGGACCTTCCCGTAAAGATATGCTCACGAACTCCTAAAATTGTAGGAGGTCGTACTCCATGATCCTCGTTGAATTCTTCCAAAAGATTACGCATTTTGAATGCTTCTTCCAAGTAATTGTCCTGGAAACGAATCACCTCGATGAACTACTTAAAAAAATTGTTACCACCAGGATGATTGTAGAATTTTATGGCCTTACCTGATTCATATCAATGGTTTGAAGAGCTTCTCCGCGAGTAAAAACTAAAGCATGATTCTGATTTTCAGGTTTTCCTTCGCCTAACTTTGCATTTCCGGGCAACTTTATCCGATAGATTTCCTGGTCAAGATTATCAACACCTTTAACCAGTACAGAATAGTAAACTTTCTGAGATCTTCCAGTGCCATCCCTTTCTTCAACATCGTCGATATAAGCCACACGAAGAGAGGTATTACTGCATAACAAAAGGGAGTTAGCAATGGATAGTTCAAGATGTCATAGAAAAACACCTGAAGGTACTTACTTGATCATCAAGTTCAGGATGTCGGTTGCACGACGGTCTCCATTTCGTTTCTGATTTCCATAGTTTTGACAGGTAGCAACATAAGTGAATTTCAAGTCAGCCACTGCCTCCAACTGAGCATACAGGGATCTCTGGCTTTTCTTATCTTCGTCGGATGGAGTTAAGATCGCTTTGTATCCTTCTAATATTTCTGCTCACACAAGAAGTACACATGCCATCAAACACTTGCATAGATGATGGACAAATGCTTTGCAGAGTTAGTGTTAGGCACATACCGTTTTCGGTAGCCATGTCGAGGAAAGCCTGAACTTTCAGAGCTCGTCTGTAATACATCATCCCTCTAACTGCAGTTCCAATGATAGTGAATTAAGAATCTAACTGTTCCAGCATAAAAATTGTCCAACGGATCGACATAACTGACTTAAGTATTGTCTGACACAACAACAGTAACCAAATACCTGTCCTACACAGAGTTTGTCCTCTTAAGGATACCCAGTGGCGTAGCTGCAAGATCTTTTCATCATTTTCCCATATCTCGTTCTCCTTACAATTGAGACGCTCGACGAAGTTGTTCCACTCATCTAAACAAAGCCAATGACAACAACGGAGTTGAAGTCATCTAAAAGAGAAAGGAAAGTTCAAAGAGATATGCAAGTTAACATTTCACAAACCTGGATAGATTTTCTGCAGGTAGAATATAATCGATACACCATCCTCGTTTTCCATCTCGAGATCACTTTTCGAATAAACAGTTTCTTCACTATAGTATGGGGTCAGGACACTGACAATGGCAAGAAGGTGACATCAATTCATGTGGCATGCAACCAGAACATATATGTTCCATGTCTACATTTAGGAGACACGAAGATACCTGAACGAGAGCATGTTACGAACTCGAGGAGCTCGTGGCATATCCATAAACAATGAATTCGCAAAGAAGGCAATCCTTCTACGTGCCTCAAGGTTTGTTGGTATATCGGTGCCGGATTCTTTGACTGTCAGGAGGATATGAAGACGTCGTATCTGTTCTTCCCAATGTGCAGTTAGCACAGGAGGGAACGCTATAGCCGGTTTTTCGTCGGTACCGGCAAAGAGTTGCCTTCCCGATTCCTTGTTACTTTGTCCGAGCTCTACTAGTTCACTGTAAGGAAGAAGAAAGGACATAAGATACTGTGGTAAAACAACAACCGAACCGATGTATAGAGAGCAAGACAGAATTTACTGACCGTATCTCATTCACCATCATATCACTGGTAACTACTTCAAGCATATCTTGCAGCAAGAAAACAACAGAATCCTTTTTGGATGGATCACCATCTTTCTGCAATACAAGAACAATAAAGAAGCATTAACTACAAATGTATAAAAGCAAAGATATCATTATATCAGTTGTTTTTCATGTCAAACTAACCAAGATTGTGACAAGCTCCACAAATTTCTTGACAAGAACAGATAAAGGAGCCATTCTGAAATTCGAGAGGAGAGTGTTCTTTGAAATGTTACTCTCGATTTCTTTGACGATGATTCGAATGGTCCTGTTGAATTATAAGTAGGTACAATCAGAACTACCAGCATGGAAGCTAATAAAACATTAAACTAAGATCAATGCAGAATTACAAACCTTTTCTCATTCTCTCCAACCACCAGAGTGTTCAGGACAATTTTGAACGACTCGTAGCATTCAATCACAGCACACTTCAGGTATTCATCGGCACATATGCGTTTCCAGAGGTCGGAGTCTTTAGATCGGAACTGAACTGCCATGTCCAATGCAATTGGTATCTGTAGAAGAAGACATGGAGTCAACAAAAAGAACTTGAGTAACTAAACCGAATGGTAGACCGAGGGAGCTTACGGACCTTGCTTGCCAGCAAAAACGGTGGCCACTGAATCAGTTTCAGGCTAGGATCTGAAGTATAAGGAACGAGTAAAAGGTCCATCTCCCCGTCACTAATTAAGTCTTCTTCACGAAAGCTACAAATCACTTCATTCCATAGCTGAGCAAACTTTGCAGCTTCACTTCTTTTGTTTGCAGTTACCTCAGCAAATCGCTTCGATAAAGAGAATCCTCTCTTCTGCGATTTTTCGGTAGGTACCAAGTATGCATTAAAGGCACCAGGCAAGGACTGGAACCGTGATCTTAGCATCCCCAAGGTTCTTATCTGACCAAAACAAGAGTGTAAGAATTACATACGTAAACAAAAAGGAATTCGAAAAGGTTACCTCTCCAAGGCGATCAAAAGCTCCACTAACACCACCAGATATGGTTGAGAAAATAGAATACCAAATTTGAGTGTCCATAAAATAAACCTGCAAGAATTCAGAAACTAAATGGCATGTTCCCAGTACAATAAGTTGATCAAAAGAATAGAAAATGAAGTTAAAATGTAACACACCAATAGTACTGGTGCCCAAAGTGATGCAACAGCTCCTATGTGGTTTTGAACTATAATGACAAGATATCCATTAACAAAACATTGCAGGTACAAAGGGTAATAAAACTGAGGCAAAGAGAAGGGAACAAGTACCATTAGGGAAGAGTTCATGCCATTTATATTTAACACGACGAATGCTCATTATGTCTTTCGTCGGCAGCACCAATGGTTTGATCTACAGGAAAAAAAATGAGTGAACGGGTTAAAACAGAAACCGGATGACTGAAGTGTCTAGTAGAAGCTGCAACCATGATCACCTGGACAAAAAAGCTGAACGCAAACTTGGAACACAATAGGAAAGACCAGAAAAGAGTATACCTGAAAGAGGGAATATATTTAAACATGAAAGAATTCAACCAACTTAAAAATGGATGCATAAGTTGCATATATATATATATACTTTCATACTTACTTTATAAGTGCAAACTGACTTTCATGCATTCCCCTCCCAACATAAACTCTTGGCTGCACACATGGAAACTCGGTAAATCGATACGAGTAAATCGGATTTAAGAAGGTAACAATGAAGTATATGGAGATGGAACATGCTCGGTACCTGTGCCCACCACATCAGTAACCTAATAATGTGCCAATCTGAGTTTTCAATCCAACGCCGGAGCATTGGAAAGATGAAAAGAACAGCAGCCAGTACATTTGGGACCAAGTACAGTCCACAAGCCATAACGTATAGAGGATTGATTCCCTCTACTTGTTTGATAAGTGATAGCATGTTCTTAACGTTCTTCGGGACGAAAGCGAATTCTTGCACATAGAACAGAGGAAGAATGATCACCCATGCAATGCTCACAATTATCTTGAGAACGTTTCTCAACACGTCAGTGAATTTCCACCTATGATATCCTGGGAAGTTGAGTGCAAGATCCAAAATACCTGAAACAAAGTACCACCTACAAATTTTAGAGAATTTTTTTATGGATTCTTCCTGCAACGCCAATAGATTCTACAAAGGCACAAAGTCATCATACTCTGAAGTAAACGCAGAATGGCCGCAGTGATAAAAATGCTGGATATATCATACAGTAATTCCTTTTCGAAGATTTTTTCTACCGGAGCCCCACTCCACGCAATGATGATCATTACCTGCACACAAGATAATGGAATATTAACATGTACAGGCATAAAAAATGTAGATCCAAATTCACGTTTAATACCTGTAAACCGAGAATATAAAATGTCCAGAGTCGATCCCAACTTCGAAAGAGGTGCCAAAATGATCTAATCTCTACAAAGTTTGATTTGCCAGTGCTTCCACTTCTTCCACAACTCTTCTTTCCCTGGTACAGTAGTTGTAGTTAAGTACACAATCACTTGTTTATTCAAGAAATAGTGCTTACAACACACGGTAATACCATGTCACGGGTTGATTTGAAAAAGTCACCATCGTCGCGCATAGGCCATCCGAGAGAGAAGCAATCGGAAGACCTGAAAAGGATACAGCAAAATTAAATTACAACTGAGAAAAAAGACCCCAGACCAATTAAAATTTGATATTAAAACCATACTAACCAGAAATACTCATTCAGATCATCGTAATTACACCAGTCTGCATGTGAAGCCGTTCCGTTTTTGTTCTTTTCAGCTTCCTGCAATATTTGAATTTTGAACTATGTTATTTGTACCTAGAACGCAATGTTTAAACTCCAAGAACAATCGGTATCTTGATGATCAAGCATACCTTTGCAACCACACAGTAAATGGGTGTTATAACCTTCCGCAAGAATGCCTCGTCGTCGCCACCATACGAGGGCTTGATGTTTTCCCCAGTCACTATGCTAACATTTCCAGCCAACAGGCCATGGAGCTCATATGCCATCTGAGAATATCATGGGATGTAAGTTAAAGTACAAGAAAACTATATATATTTACATATATTCGAAGAATACTCACGTTATGAAAGATGTAGCATAGACATTCCGGCATGTATCGAACATTAGCTGCTTCACCCCAGATGAGAAGATATAATCCCATATATAGTATCTTCCTCTGTTGTATTTCTTGAGAGCCTTGAGGTAGCCTTAAACTATGTTTACGTCCCAAGAATTTACACCATGTTTTGTAATTCTTGAAAAGCTTGCTCATAACAGTGTCGACTGCTCGTTCATCGAGCTGCATAAAATAACTGAATTTAATCAATATACCGCTTCCATTCGAAATTTCAGTAACCACTGGCAGGCAATTGAAAAAAATAGATTAAACACTAATGTATACCTTATTAAGAGGTTCAGGTTTGGGGTGGAGTCTAATATGATTATTGGCAAGCAGCAAAATCAAGTGCTCCCTCTGGTTCCTGACATTGTCCCTCTGCAATGACCAATGTAAGCCAAATGCATCATTATTTTAAGAAGAAAAAAAGAACATTTATTAGATTCAGCCTGTGTTCAAAACATGCCTGGAATCCAAACATAGCCCTTAACCAATCCAGAAGGTCCAAGTCTCCGGTTTTCTGCCTATGTGGCTCGAATCCGGAAGGCCAGTTCAAGCCACGAACATTCCCAAGTGCAGCCACAGAAGCCTTAACCTGTATAATAATACGTACATTATCTTTAATGAATGGAATTATACATAATCAACGAATGATACATGATATTATTAAGAAAAATTACCTCCTCAAGCTGCATGATGGACTGAGAAGCCCCGGCAGCATCCAAAGGAAGAATGTTGTAGGGAGTGTAGATATCCTTCTTTTCTTGGACATCTTTAGCTGCTGCCATAATCTGCACAACCAAATATCATTAAAATACATTTTTATGCCATCCATTGGTAACATTTAAGGAATTTACTGAAACACAGGACTAACCTCGGGAGCAACTTCCTCGACTTTCTCGGTTTTATTAACTGCACAAAGGACTTCGAAAAGCACTCCAGCCGTTTGGTAAGCTTTCCCCAGCTGAGCTCTGCAAGAAATTAGTTGACATACAAGGTGAAGTTCTTGGAAACTCATTTTGGTATCATACATTTGAGAAAACTAGTGTGATATAAATTTACCTGTCTGCCTGATCTCCCTGGTCCAGAGCTCTAACATAGTGTTCATAGTATCGTTTATAATAGCTCCCGATTTCTGCCGCATCGGTCTTTTTAACCCGAGAGGCAAGACTGGATGCATTGTCCTGTGTCCAAAATGTATCCCATTATTGTCCGAACATTTATTCAAATCAACATCTATAAAGCAATAATGCTCGAAATTCATCATTTTTGACACATGACAAGGCCTCCGGTCATCGTCACATCATGGTTTATTGCATGTAAATTTACCCTCTCAAGCCTTTGCAGTAGACCAGTCTTGAACTGCCTAACACCACGTCCGGAGGAGTTGGGATCCAATCTGTGTGCTTTCTCAAAGGCATAGAATCGACCTGTTTATTTTTGCAACAACAAAAAGAATGTTAATTTTAATATAGGAATACTTAAAGCATTTGAAAATGGAAAAATAATGAAGGAAATATATAGACGTACAGAGATAGGCAACACGAGGGCGTTCGGGTTCGATCTCTTTGGCAATGCGGAGGATGGGTGCGATCGAACTAAGCGAGGAAGGTACGACCTCGTTGTCGAACACCTCGGTCGAGAACGTCGTGGTCGCGGCGCTCCTCGATGGTCTTCGCGACAGCCCTTGCGGGCCTGTACTTGTTTCGGTATTCGTCATCACATAAAATAAAGCTTTCTCAGCTCTCTACTGCTTCAAGAAACAGAAAAACAAAACATTTATAAATTAATAGGCGACACATTTTAACAAAAACAAAAGATATAGGCTTAAAACTCTGTTTGGAAGATGAGAAAACGAAAGAAAAACTCTTGGTTCACGTTCCACTCTTTAACAAAGGCAAGAAAGGAAGATGACATGGAACTCTTACGTTTAATACAAAAGGCAGGAAGAAGAGAGACGGGAGAGTTGTCCCACAGGAATGCCTTTGGCCCGAGGAGTGAAATTTATACAACGGAAAAACAGTAGGGTTAGTTAGCGGTAAGAGAGGAGACAATGGAGAGAGTAGGAGAAGAGCTGGAGCAGCCGAGTACGGTGCTAGCCATAACACGTGGCATATAATGGAAGGTTATTACAACGGCATTCGTGGGTTGCCTTCTTGCAGGAGCGATTCTTCATCAGCTAAATCGACTGATCATTGGCTTGGAGCTTCCATTCATCAGTGTTTGTTTTGTTTCTCGTTATTGTTGGCTAACGTACCAAAACCATCACTTTATAATTTAATATTGGGTAAACTACATGTTTAGAACTTAAACTATTACTTTTATTTCGTTTTGGTACCAATTTTTTTTCAAAATCATACCTAAACGTTTAGTTTAGGTTTCAATTTAGTATTTTGTCGTTAAAAAATTAACAGAATCGATGATGTGATATTTTTAAAAAATCAATGATGATGTGACATTACCTTATGGTGACACGTCAATATTATTAAATTTTTAATGGTGAGTACCAAAATGAAACTTAAACTAAACATTAGGTATGATTTTAAAATAAAATAAAATTTGAGTACCAAAACAGAACAAGTATAATAATTTAGATATTAAATGTGTAATTTACTCGATATTTTATTATATAAATATTGATAAAACAAATGTAATTGTTTGATTATATAGTGATTTTAATTTTTATTCTATTTTTTTAGTATTTTGACCAGTTATGTTTATTTTGGAGCAAAAACACTTTCTCAGACTGCAAACAATAACTGGAACCAGGCACCAAAGTTACTATAATGTAAATGCTTCCAATATGAATATATATATACTAGGATCGTTATACGACTCCTTATTTTTTTTTATGAATATCTTCTCGTTTTTTATACTAATTTGATTTATCAAAAAATAGGAACAAATAGTGCAATATACTGAAAAATGATATTGAACACAGTACATATAACATATTAACATTAAAGTTCTCAAAATGTTAATGTGTATAAAAACAGTTCATCATCATTATGCCACATTAACTTAAGCTTGAGAATGGAAATTTCATGGACAAGAAGGTAACTGAATTAGCATGATTTCTGGTAGAGAAAATTTCTTCCAAGTGCGTATTCTATACGCAGATCCAGGACCCAACATCATCAAGCAGATTGCACAAGATTTAATGGCCAAGGTGTCCTAAACAAAACAAAGAAAGGGTGCAAGTTTTGGTATACAATGGCTATAAAGTATCACCTCACCACGGTCTTCATATATGTAGAATCAAAATAGAGTAAAAATTCTAATTGATTGAGAAAAAGAAAAACTCTTTAGAATAATCTCACAAAATTGCAAAAGGGAAGAATTCTTAAGAAAGCTTTCAAATGCTTATAATTAAGCTTTGATTGTTGGATTATAAAACTCAAATACAAGTAGGGTATTTATAGGTTACAAGAAACAATCTAAATCACTCATTAAAATAAGTACTAAATAATCTAAACCATTGAAATTAAAGCATGAGAAAAATACTTAATTTTCACCTAACTAAATTGATGTAAGCAATGACATCAAAACTAAATTGATGTAAGCAATGACATCAAATTAATTTAGGTGTGAACTTATTTAGGCTAATATTGAATTTTCAACACTCCCCCTCAATGTTAGCCTCCATTCTTTGAATCACGCCATGCTAACGACGGAAATGTTCAAACTTTTCAACACTCAAGTTTTTTGTAAACAAGTCAGCAATTTGCTCATCTGTCTTTATTTGCCTCATCTCAATCTCTTCTTGCAAAACTTTTTCCCTAACAAAGTGGTAATGTACTTCCACATGTTTAGTTCTTGCATGAAAGACAGGATTCTCCGCCAGCCGAATTGTCGATTGGTTGTCACAATACAACGAAATTGCATAATCTACTGGTTGATGTAGATTATTCATCAACTGTATCAACCATGTACTCTCTTGAGCTGCCATTGTTGTTGCTCGATACTCAGCTTCAGTGGTTGACAATGATACCGTTGGTTGTCTTTTGCTACACCAAGAAATTGTTCAAGAGCCAAGCTTAAACACATATCCAGTTGTTGATCTCCTGGTGTCATGATCTTCTGCATAATCAGCATCACAATAACCAACTAACTTGCAGTCTTCACCTTTCTTGTACAAAAGACCATAGTCAATTGTATTCTTCATATATCTCAGTATTCGTCGAACTGCTTCCAAATGAGGCTTCTTTGGATTTTGCATATACCGACTCATCACACCAACTGCATAAGAAATGTCAGGTCGGGTCAAGGTTAAGTAGATCAGACTACCTACCAATTGTCGATACATTGTTGCATCTTCCAAATCTTTTCCTTCATGTGCACACATTTTGATATTTGGTTCCATTGGCATTGAAGTTGACTTGCATTCGAGCATTCCAAACCTCTTCAACAAATCTTTAGCATATTTCTGTTGACATAGAAATATTCCTTCGTGTGTGCGATCAACCTCTAGACCAAGGAAGTGCTTAAGTTGTCCAAGTTCCTTCATCTGGAAACGAACTGATAAATTCTCCTTCGTCTGAAGAATTTCTGCCTCATCATCCCCGGTTATGATTAAGTCACCACGTACACTAGCACGATAGCTAGCTTACCTTCATTGACTTTGACAAACAAGCTAGAATCTGCAGGTGTTACTGAATAACCACTTTTCGTTAGAAATTCAGCAATCTTACCATACCACGCCCTAGGTGCTTGTTTCAATTCGTAGAGTGCTTTTCGCAGCTTACATACATATTCAGGATGACCTTGACTCTGAAAACCCATTGGTTGGGTCATGTAGATCTCTCGATCTAGTTCTCCATGAAGAAAAGCATTTTTCACATCCATCTGCCACAAGTTCCAGTCTTTGTTGGCTGTAAGTGCAAGTAAGACTCGTACGGTTGTAAGTTTCGCCACTGGACTAAACGTTTCATCATAGTCTAGTCCATACTGTTGAGAGAAACCACGAGCTACCAATCGTGCTTTGTACCTCTCGATTGACCCATCTGGACGACGCTTTATCTTGTAAACCCATTTGCAAGATAAGGGTTTCACATCTTTTATCTTTGGTACAATATCCCAAGTTTGATTTTGCTGAAGTGCATCGATCTCTTCTTTCATAGTTGTCATCAACTCAGAACTCTTTGATGCTTCTTCGAACGTCTCAGGCTCCGTTGCTTCTTCAATTATGGTTGCATTGGCATATTTGGGATTTGGCCTTCGTATTTTTGTTAACCTTCGGAGTTGAGATTGTGGAATTGATTCTTCTGTTTCACTAGGCCACCTTCTTTGTTTGGTTGTTAATACACGCCAGTTTTCCAAGGATTCGTCACTCTTTGTTCGACATCATTGCCATTTGGATCTTCTGATTCATCTGAACTTGTTTGGAGTTGAACAATATGCTCCCCCATCTTTTGTTGTAGCTTGTCTCTAAATTCTCTCGAATCTGGCAACACCTCTTTCTCTGAGGACCACCAAGAATATGCTTCATCAAATACCACATTTCGTGACGAGTAGCATCTTCCACTAATTGGATCACAACATTTCCACCCCTTTCTCTATCTGTCATATCCCACAAAGATACATCTAACAACTTTCTTGTCAAATTTGCTCCGTAAACGATCAGGAACAAACACATAACATACACAAACCAAATACTTGAAAGTAACTAACTGTAGGTTTTATGTTCCATAGTTTCTTAAAGGGTAAAACAAATCCTAACCTTGGTTGAGGAAGTCTGTTGATCACAAAGGTTGCAGTCCTCATTGCTTCAGCCCAAAACCTTCCAGGTACATTCTTTGCATATAGCATACTTCGACAAATTTTTGCAAGATGCCGATTTTTTCTTTCCGCTACACCATTCTGTTGTGGCGTGTTGGCACAAGTGTACTGATGTATTCGACATTCCCTTAGGTATTGAGAGAACTCGTTTGATCTATATTCTCCTCTGTTGTCTGTACGCAAGCAATATATATTCTTTCCCACTTCTCCTTCAGCTGAGTCTCTGAACTCTTTAAACTTTGAGAAAATATCATATTTTTCTTTCATAAAGAAAACCCACACATACCTGGAGAAGTCATCAATGAATGTTACCATGTACCGCATACCGCTAATTGATTGTTGCTTAACCGGTCCGAACACATCAGAGTGAACCAACTCCAACGGTTCTTTTGCTTTAAACTTCGACTCGTCATATGGTAATTGGTGTGCTTTACCATAATGGCGTCTCGCACAGACCGTGTATGTTCTCACGTCTAGTTGAGGAAGCCCCTTAAGCATCGACTTTTTCACCATCACACTTAGCTTGGAATAGCTAACGTGACCTAACCGCATGTGCCATAGATCTGATGTCTCATTTTTCCTTGTCCTATCTACATATGCAGACTCTGCTGACATCACATAAAATGATTCCAAATGTCGTCCCTCCATTGTTGGTGTTTCTGAGATTTTGACGTCACGATAAACCTTCACGTCTTGGGGACCAAATAAGACATAATGGCCTGATGATGTTAGTTGAGCCACAGATAGCAAATTTTTCTTCATTCCTGTGACATGGTAAACATCTTGGAGTTGCACCTGGTTAATATTATATCGAGGCGTAACTATTGTCTTACCGATGTGAGTTATCGGTAACCTTGAGTTGTCAGCTGTCACCACCACACGACCTCCATTGTACTCAGACGGGTTTTACAACTTCTGTTTGTCACCCGTCATATGATTTGAGCAGCCAGAATCTATAATCCAATCATTCTTATAG